ATAAATAAAAAGTTGGCAAGTTAGGATAATGAAGAAAATTTTAGGAGCAGGGTAGTTACATAGAATTTGCATATCATGAAAAATTTCACACATTTTTAAAATTTAAATTTAAATTTATGAGTAATTTCGCAAGATTTTTTAATATTAAAATTTGTGGGCAGGCAATTGGGAAGTTAGAATAATGGAAAGATATTTATAAATGATGAAGTTACACACAATAATTTACTTATTATTTTGAAATTCTAGACCTGAAATTATGAATAAATTACGGGGAACTTAGGATAATGAAGAGAAATTTGGGAGGTGGGGTGGTTTTATATTTTTTTTATATGTAAAAAATAAGAGAATAAATTATACGAGTGATCGAATACTCAAAACGGCTAACCGCATCTGAAAAAGTGATCACGGGGTTAGGAAATTAAATCATGGGCGAGGAAGTTATAAAAAAATAGAAATAAATTATATTTATTGATTAAAAATAATTTTGTAAGCAAAATCCTATGTGGATTTAAAAAATTGAAGCATTTGAAGATGACACTTGTCATCCATAGAGAAGTGCTTGTTATTCTTCTATCACATATATTAACAAGTATCTCCTACATTGCACAGCATGTATGAAATATTTTTTAGTGTAAATCATAATTAATTAATTAATTAATATTAACTTTTGAAATAATAAAATACAATTTAATATTTATTTTAAGAATTGATTAAACAGCCTCAACCCCAAATCGTAGGGTTATGGAATCCACATCCAGATTTTTCTATGCTTATTAATAGAGAATTTAGGAAAAAGATTTAAAATTTTAAATCATGAAATCAGTAGAACATGGAGGAATATGAGAAATGATTTTTAGAAGGTACTAGGAATAATCATTGGACAAAGATATTCATAAGTGATTGAATAATTAATAAGGATTATTTTTTGGGACATAAAGAAAAATTAGAATTTGAAGGAAAGAAATATGTAGAAAAATTAATTATAAGACCTGAAATATTAAGGACTTTTGGAAACATCACTTTCTTCCTACCAAGACTCCACAATATTAAATTAACATAGCCCATTTTGAGCCCATGGACAAATTGAAATTCTTTTGCTCCAGCAGAATGGATGTTAGGTTTGTATTTTGAGTAAAGGAATTAATTTTGGGCCACATGGAAGTAGTTGGGTTGAACAGATGACAAATCAAAGTTTAATAAGCAACATTTACTCTTTTTCTTTCTCATTTTCGGATATAGTAGCGTGCGTGGAAGAGAGAAAGAGAGTTCAGCCTTCATTAGAGTTTGAGAAAGTTTAGAGAGAGGCTTTAATTTAGCCAAATACCCATCATTTAGCTCAACATCCACATGCAAAATAGAATCTAGACCTACTCAACTCAGGCTTTTAATTAAACTTAGTGGTTTTTTGAGATTCCAAGTTTTTAAGAGGGGCTTAGAGAGGTAAAGCCTAAGAACCCAAGGCTGTAGAATGCTTGGAGTGGGGTAAGGATAAATTTATGTGTTTTTGGGTCGATTGATGAGTTCAAAGAAGATGAAATATAATGTGTTATTGAAAATACTGTTTAGATTTTTCAAATTTTATGCATGAATATTTTGAGGTAGAAATAATGATTAGAAGGTGTCAAGTTAATACCCAACCAAGATAGAGCAGAATATAAATTAGCTATTGGTTTTTCCCCTACTGTTTGTTCAACCGTTGAGCAGAGGGGTCACGGTTTTCTATCTAAATTAAGAGGAGGAGAGAATAAAAAAAATGCAGTGGAGGAGTGAAGAGGTTCTTTGACCATGATTATTATAGGAATATGAAAGTGTAATTTATTTCCCCTATTATTCGGTAAAAAAATTTCTCACCAGAGGAGTTATGTTTTTGCTGTTCCTAACTGTCAAAAGTGGAGAAGCAAAAGTTCAAATGGTAAATAGATGGATTGTTGACAGTGATAGTAAATAAATATTATTTTAGAAGGCAATTCTTTTGGGGAAAAAAATTAACATAGGAGTAATACAATATGTTATAATTAAATTATGAATTTATTATTGTGGATTGTGGGAAATGATATAGTGGTGCGTGATTGGATAATTTTTTTTTTAGGCTTTGATATTTATGAGAAGCTCAAAAAATTTTATTTCCAAAAGAAGATGGGACAAGGAAGTATTTTGATCCAAGGTGGCATTTCTCTTATTTTTGTGATAACATTGTTTGGTTGACTTAATCTTTTAGAATTTTAATAGCACGAATTGCAGAAAATATATGATTTAATGAGATGTTATTTTGCTTGTTTGACATCTTGGCCAATGTATGTCTATACTTGTTGATTTTATAAATTCATGGTCTAAGCTTATTGATTTTAATGAGTTGACCATTATTCTTTGAAGCATGAAATAGACTAACGCTGTTGAGATTTTTAAAAAATCTCACTTTATGTCCCATATCAAAGGTGTAGGTTCATCTAAGAACCAAGGCAAGGAGAAAGAGCATTGAAGAATATTTAATTTCTTTACTTTGCTTTTAATATATATATATATATATTTCCATGATTCTATTTTGAAGTTGTAACTATAAAAGATATTTACCAATGTGTTTATAGTTCAATTAGAATCATGGATAGAATTTATTTTGGTATGCAAATATTTTTATGTATGATGGATATTATCAAGATAAAGCACTTATCTAAGGTGCAAGATTAGTAAAGGAATTATAGTAGCTATATGGTAGTTATTATCTTGAAATTTTTGTCACTCATAGAGGAAATTTTAAGCTTCAAATGAAGTCTTGAATCATTAAATTTGGAATTGCATGTTATGAGATATGATTTTTACAAAATAAGGTTAAAAATATTTAAAAAATTCCTGGAGGTAACTAAAGCAGTGAGGAACGGAAATTCCTCAATAAATATTGGTTGTTATTTGAAGTCAGATTATTTTTCCTTGAAGAAGTTTTCCTAAGCTTGATTTAGAGACTTAAATCACCTCATTATGATTTTTATAGAATTAGTTATGTTTTTTGTATGTTGATGAAAGATTCTGAAAAAATCAATAGATTTTTTTAAGAACATTATTTGGCATTTTCCAGTTTATGGTCTTTAGTACTTGAAGATCATGAAGATTCGAAATGACCCCTATGAGTGCTTCTTGTTTAAAGTAGTTAAAATAATTGAGATGTTTCACGTAAAGTGAATTTTTTCTGCAACTTAACCCCTTTTGCTGTAAAATAAAACCAACAATTTGGTTTGCCGACTACTTTTTCTTCCTTACGATGGATTAGAACCAACATACCCTGTATTTGATATTTAACTTGTCATCTTGCACTATGGTTTATCTCAAAGGAATGAGACAAAATTAACATGGGGCTCTACATCTAGATTGAAAAGTAGACATTTCAAAAAAAAAATATATATATAATTATTATTTACATCAAAATAATTAATGATATTGAGTTGCTGGATTTCACTGACTAAAATTTTGTAGAGAAGAAATTGCAAGTGGGATTAAATCCCACTGGCAATATATATGTAAGTATTTTTATAAGCACTATTTAAGTTTGGAGAGATGTCATTCAAATTATAGGAGGAGGTTTCCAAATTTGTTGGCTATCCAAATTGTATGGAGGAGAAGGAGTATGCTTTGTGACAAGTAAGAAATAACAAAAGACATCTCTACGAGGTTAAGCGATTTCACTGTTCAGAACTTCACATGTTAGTATAGAAAATAAAGGAGGAATCTCACGTGCGTCCCATTTTTTCTTAGAGCACCCTCCAATGCCTTGCACCTTCCTTTTTTTATAAAAAAAATAATTATATATATTGGGTTATTTAAAAATTATCCATTCATGATTTTACAAATATCTTTATTTATCTTCGTACTTTTTTTGTTATAAATTAAATAAGTAATAATTGATAATTAATAAAAAATTGTGAAGAGCCGAGAGAACAGAGGAGCCTCGTGTGAGCCCCATCTTCCTTGGTTCAGACATGCCTTTCACCCACATCATGTACGGCACAAATGCTATCCACCCGCTAATTTGATTCCGATATATCATATCATAATAATATCCAAGAATGATCTTTTTATGATTTTACAAATCTCTTTATTTCGTTTTGTGTCATTTATAAAATAATAAAAATCACAAAAAACTATATGAGATATATCTTTTATTTATTTGACATAAGTTAGTTATGTAAGGTAATGCAAATTTTATATACATAATTCTAGCTGAAAATCAATTCCTTTGTTAAAAATATTAAATCAAATTTTTTATAAATTTTAAAATTATTTTTATCTAAAAAGAGTTAATAATTTAAAGTGAAATAAAACTATAACTAAAGAACATGTATATTATTTTTTTCAAATATTAACATGAAAAAAAGTACGAAGGAATCGAAATCGATGGAGTTTCACCGACTTCAGTTTTCACATGCACCATGCGTGCGTGTGGGACCACGGGGAAGAGAGGCGAGAGGGCACTCATGTGGGTCTCTCTGTTTTTTTTTTTTTTTTTTTTTAAACCTCCTCCCTTTCTCTTCACATTCGGTACAACCCTGTCGACGCATTTTATATCAAAATATAAGAAAACTATGTTCGTATTATTTATAAAATAATAACAATAATAATAAACACATAAACAAATTATGTGGGACATGTATTTTTGTGAATCAAAATTATGTGAGGCATGTATTTTTATGAGTTAAAAATAAATAAAGAAATAATAACTGTGAAAACGGAACGAATGAATAAGAAGAATATTTACATATTATGATTTTGCAAAATCCAGTTACCTTTTACCCATTCAAATGACTATGCCGGGCCGAATAAAAAGCAAAGAAAGGAAGGAATCGGGAGAAATAAATAATAAGATTTTAGAAAGAGTTGAAGATATTTTGGGCAGAAGAGAGAGAGAGAGGGAGGGATCGGAGGAGAGTGAGAAAGACTGAAGGGGAGAGGAAAGCAGTCACAGATCCAAAGGCAGAGAGATGGCGGAACCCAGACGGTATGTTTGGTTTGTCCATTATTTTTTTCTCCTCTGGCGACTTTCGTAGCCTTCTCTTCCGTTTCAATTCTCATCGAACTCTAATCTGTGCTAAACTTGGCATTTATACCCAGTTTGATTAGATTATATGTAGTACCCTCCTCCAAAAAAAAAAAAAACTGTCTTCATTTATCCCTGCTTCATATAACGAAAATTGACATCTAATAGAATCCATTGGAGCTTCTGCTTCTCACGGGGTCTTTTCTTAGTTCTATCCCCGCACCGATGATCACCTTTTCTTGGTTCGTCAAAGCATCTTATTTTCTTTGATTTTTGGTTCCTAAACAAATAAATTGTATATGTTCAGAAATGAATCTAGCATAAAATATATTCAAACAAGCAACACAAATTAAGTATGAACCAATTGATATGTGGACATTTTTGGAAAATAATGATTGTTGTTCATCTTGTTTTTTTTTTTGGCATAATGAACAGAACAGAAGAAGAAAGTAGTGGCAAGACACTGACATGGATCGAGTGCATATGGCCAATCATACAACATCTCCTGACTTGGTAATTATACTTATTTATTTTCTTTACCCAAGACCTCTTCGAAGCATTTATGGTGTAAATTAACTTCTTTCATTTGAACGATATGATTACAAATAAAATTTGGTTCATTCATCCAACTTGCGAGGAATGAAATTATTCATGCATTACTTCTAGGAACATTATTGGTTAGTTTAAGCCCTTGCTCAGATGTGCATAAAGAAAAATGATTTTCTCACATGAATAGAATCATTAATTATATATACTAGGTTGCTTTTTTAGGTGTTTCTCTAACTCACCATCTTTTTAAAGTATAACAAACGGCAACAAAGAAGAAGAAGAATGGAGCAACAATAAGAAAAAGGAACATATTACAGATGAAGATGACGAGGGAAGAGTAATAAAAGGAAGCAACAACAACACAAAGGTGGAAATTACATATGATGATGATGAGGGAAAAGTAATGAACAATAATGAAGAAGGAAGCAGCAACAATGAAAAGGAACATATTGCATATGATGATGTTGGCAGTGGTGGTGATGGTGAAGATGAGAGAAGAGAAATGGACATTAAAGAAGAAGGAAGCATTTACAAGAAATGGTCACAAATTGGAGATGATGTCTTGGGCTTCATTCTAAAACACTTAGGCGTCATTGATTACCTTCAAACCCTAGCTGTATGCTCTAGTTGGAGATCCACAGTTCTTAAATGCATTGCTAACAAACATTGTCTTCCATCACCTGAATTGCCACTTCTTTTCCTTCAAACAATGGAAATGGAAAACCTTCATTTCTTCAACTTGGCCAGGGGAAGAGTCTTCAACTCCATAGGGTTATCACATGAATTATTCCATCATTGCTATGGCACAATATGTGGTTGGATGATCATGGTTGAAGCTTTCAACAACTCTTTTTCTAATGTTAAGGAAACTGATGCGCGAATCTTCTTCTTCAACCCGATAACAAATGCTAAGATTTATATGCCATCAAGGTTGAAAGTGAAAAGTAAAATAAAGGTTATTGTGGCATCAACAGAACCCAATGACCCAAACTGTGTTGTGGTGTGTCTCTTTTATCATCACTTTGTGTTTGCATTTAGTTGGATTTCAAATGACTCATGGACTATCATTGAGGAAAATGTGTCTACAGCATTGGCGTTCTTGCACATAGAGATTATTGATGGGAAATTGTATGCTTTGACCCAGGCAGTATTAAATTCTATAGTTTTTTATGATCTACGAAAAGAACCCGTAAAACCCGAAATATTGGCAAGGCTTCCTGAGAGAAGATTTGCTATAATAAGAAGGAAAACGGGTCCTTTGGACTTTATTTATGATGGTGATGGTCGCATTCTTAATTCTTGGGAAGCTCAAGGTGACATTCTTCGAACTTTGGTAGTTGATTCTTCATCAGGAGAGTTATTGCTTATATATTTGATTTACAACTCAGTCTTTAGGTTCAATGGAATACTTAATGATACAGCGAGAAAGGAGTATACCAGTCCACCCAAGATTGTAGATAGTAAGGTATTCAAGTTGGATATGAGTAAAGAACCTAAATGGATAGAGGTTAAAAACTTGGGAAATCGAATGTTGTTCATTGGGTATTGGAAAAGTTTTGTGGTGTCAAATGATGCTCTTCAATGCCCTAAAGAGTTTATTAAAGAGAATTGTATCTATTTTGCTTATCGTTTTCCATGTGTTAAGGGTATCACAGATGAATGGAAAGGCTTGAGAATTGGGAGGCATCGTAGGATAGATAAAATGGTTGATTACTACACATGTGAAAGATCAAGCTTCACTGAGGTACCATATCCAGTGTGGTTTATACCAAGTCTTTCATAACTCTTTAATATGTTGCTTTACATTTCTTAGATATTATATTGAAGGTTTTCTTGGGTTAGTGACAATGTTATTTGTATTTCTTATAATATTTATTAATATTATTTTATTTATAATATTCATCAAGAATTAAGAAAGATATATGAAACGATTCAGAATTTAAGTCCATGAAAAATTAATGAGATAGTATTTTAATTATATTTTATTAATTTTGCAATAAATACTATAAAAAGGAAGCTGCCTGGTGGAGGTCGTGTCAATAGCTCATTTGCAGGTCCCTGGGTCGAATGCTGCCAAGACAAGAGGGGAGTTTTTGTTTTTATTTTAGTCTTTAGTGAAATTACCAAAATTCTCTCTGTTAAAAAAATAAAAAAAATTAATATATCATCGGATTTTCACTTCATTCTCTCCAGAATTTTGCCATGGAACCGACTTGGAAAGAAATGAAATCCCAAGTCCTCTGCATCTTCCTTCTAAGTCTTCGCCGCATTCCTCCGTTTTCTTTCTTCGTTGCTGGTGTGTAAGTGGGATACTGTCATTCGTTGTTGCAAGGAGTTCTGGCGAGGTCGATTGTCCCTTCTCCCTATTTCCGCTTTACTGCATTTTCTTTTTCTTCCCACTTTGATTTGCAGTAATGGTGTTGTGAGATCTTCTTTTCCCCTCTTTATTGATGTCGTCCATGCGTTGGTGTATGGGGTTCATCTGTCCTTTAAAAAAAAAAAAATCTCCTTTCCATGCTGTTTGATTGGGTAGCTAAGAAAAAATGGAACTGATCTCCTCCCCTGTTTGTGTTGCTTACTGCTGTGGGAGAGAATTTTTTTCCTTCCTCTGTCACGTTTCCATCTTCGCTGTTGGTGTGTGTGTGTGTGTTTTGGATGGCTGAAAATTGAAATTATGATTTTCTCTTCCTTCATTCCTCAATTAGTTCATTGGTTAGTTGAACCCACCTCCCTTCTCTCCCTCACCAAATCCATGTGCATGTCAGTAGGGACTGTTTTAAAATAATAAAAAGTAAAGTTGATTCTCTTTTTATGCTTGCTTGATGTGCGTGAATGTAGAAGTAATTGGGATCTAAGGAAGCCAACGAAAAACAAAAATACAAATTTTAGGAGCATGGTTTTGGATATAATTTCTTATAATCGTTTCATAGATATTTGACGGGTGTAGAAGTGAGTTTGGATTTTATGTGAGCTTAATTTATTTCTTGATGAGAGTGAGGTCTGAAAAGTATTATAAATTTAAATATTGATGTTAGAAATTATGGATCAAGAAATTGGAAGCTTAAAAAATAAAATAAAAAGAGCTTTATTGAATGGTTGGTGAAATGATGCTCACAAGATGCTTGATAAAATGTTTAGCAGGAGAATTTCGATCTTAGATGGTAAATAAATGTGATAAATGTATTTTGTTGGTTAAGTTATTATCAGAGACAATTATTCTCAACAATGAAAGTTGGGAATGAAATTTGAGAATTTGGAAAAAGGTATTTGGGTTGTTAATTTCAGGAGCAAGTTGGGTTGATCATCGAGTACATGTAAAATATTTGATGAAAAGTTTGAGAAATAAAGTTAAAGAAATTAGATAAAGTGGTAATGTTGAATAAATCATAATCTAAGCTTTTATTTTCTACTTTAAGACTTGGAAATTTTATATTTTGGAGATTTATGGTTTAACTTTACCATGATATGTTATATGTGAAGGGTTAAGGTTGGGATTTTCTTTCATGCTTGATGGATTGTTAATCGGTATATATGTTATAGATTAAATTCAATGTTGCGTTTTACATGTGGAAAATTGATGTTAAGTTATTTTCTTTTTGAATTTTTCATGGACCTAGAATGCGGATGTGCCCTTTGAGTTGTTGAATATTAGTTTTATGTAATTTAAAGAGTTTGGGTTGATACTCAAATAAAATGTAGATTTGAATTTATTAATGATTTGTAAGTAAAGGGTTGAACATAAAGGAATTATTGTGTTTTATAAAAGGTATGTAAGAAAATTGACAATAGTATTACTTTGCTATTAAGGAATTAAAGAGTGGCCCATATTGTGAAAGCGATTGGCTAGGAATAAGTTATGTATTTCGGAATATATTAGATAAGTGAATAGCATCCCAAGGATTTATTAACAATTTTTTTCCAAGAAAAAATATATTGATAAAATTTATTTACATGCTCTAAGTATATGATTCTTTTGATTCTTCAAGAACAAATTACAGCATATTTTAATTTATTCTTACTTAATGATTTATGATTTTAATGCTATTATCGACTATCGTATATAGAAATATTTTCTTTTATACTTGATTTAAAATGTAAAATTGAATCAGAACACTGATTACTAATAGCAGTACTGTCAACCTTTGGCATGCTATGATACACCTAGTTGGCAAGATGCTTATAGGAGATGCTAGCCCCGTGCAATGGCCAATGCACGTGGAATGGAGGGACGGTTATTCATGAGCATCGTATTCACGCTTGTTTTCATAGGCTTCATGCCTGCGCTTGATTTGTGGGTCCTGCGATGTTTGTTTCGTGGCTTTTAGCTGTGATTGATTGGTTATTTATCCTTGTGTATTGTGTGTCCACACTTGTTAGTTGCTTACCCTTGTGGACTCTGTGTCCATGCCTGTTACCCGTTCTAATAAAGTCCAATTAAAGAATATGTAAAGTCCCATCTCAAACAAGGCTTTACCATTCCCATCACACAATCAATCAATACAAACAATAATAAAAATTAGAGTAATAGCCTTTTATTTTTTTTTTTCAAATCGCTAGATCTCGACTTCTTAAAACATATATTCAAATAAGAAGGCTAACGGAAGTGTAAATACAATCAAATGACTCAAAAAGCCACAACTTCCCAACCTTGAAAAAGGGCCATGCACCGTGTTATATGGCACAGAGCCACATGTTCTGTTTCTGACTGCGTCATGCGCCGAGGCGGGCCAATTTGAATTTTTGCTATCATTTTGATAGTAAAAATGACAAACTTTTAGCATGTGTTGTTTTCACATTCGACCTTCGATTGGAGTGATTCAAGCACCCACACAAAGCTTACAACGTATATTAACTAATGGAATAAGTTTGAACTCAATCTAATGGTTTGACCTAAAATTCAACATCCGAGTGTAAAAAGTCACTTTTCCTTTCAAAAACTTATACCCTAAGTACTCAATTCTCATTTCTTGTCCTATTAGATCACTTTTGTCACGCCCCAAAATAAAGGGTGATCGGCACGGGTGTGAACCATTCTCACATTCTCGTAAGCCTCCAAGTGAATATTTATTTCATTTTTCAAGAAAGAACAAAATTCAATCAAATTATATAAGAATTAAAATAACTTCTTTAAATTCATTATCATAAGAAAGTGTCAACGTTTTTTTAGAAATTTTGGCAGAACCTCCCCTGTAACTAGGATCTCTCGAAAACTCTACAATAAAAATTTCTTTTTACAGATAACAGTATAATTCAGGAGCTTAGCTCCTTCCAGCCATCAACCAATATACAGACCAAAAATAAGATTTATCAACCATCTATGTGAAGCATCTACTCTTTCCTTCAAATCAAAACGACATGCCAATCATATATTTACATTAAAATTACAATACCAATCAAAAAGGTCCACCCACTATAGCTAGTTGCCCTTTAGAGGTCGATAGTGGGATCAGCGTCAACTAACAAATCTGAGGCCAAAATAATTTTTCAGTGAATAGCATTCCCATATTAAAATTTTTAAAATTTAACTCAACAACCTTTAATAATAGTGTTAGCTAATTAAAAGTAATTTCACTAAAATTTATAAGCATGTAAGTCATAATCATATTTGTAAAATGAGAGTAAATTGAAAATAATTTATGATATCATGCTAAAAAAAAAACAATCTCTTCTCATATAGTTCAAAATGATACAATTTACTAGTCAAAATCAGGTAAATTTCAAAAACACATATTAATTAACATTTAAATTTCTGAGAACTCAACAGAACAGGTTACAAACGTGAACACACAGTTCACGAGGGTAAATAACCAAACGCGGCTTATGCCACGAAAACAAACGCGGACACATCAGTCCACGAGGGTAAGTAATCAAACGCAGCTGAAGCTATGAAACAAATGTGGACACACAACCCATGAGGGTAAGTAACCAAACACGGCTTAGGCCACGAAATTAAATGTGGGTATAAAGCCCACGAATACCAAACATGAGAATAAAACTCACGAAACAAACTAGCTAGTGTTTAACCACAGCGCTACGGGCTAACGAAACTGCCGTTAGCAGTAGTGTTCTGTTTTGAGTTCTCTTAAAATCATGCTTCAAACATGCGAGAAAAACAATTATCATTGAAATAAATTATCATTCTTACTGCCAAACTCGCATGAATTGTTTCAAATCTCAAAATTTGTTAAAATCATAAACTTGCATTAATTAAGTATCCAATAAAATTCAAAGTTTAACAACAATATAAGAATGCTTCCATCAATTTTGAAAATATATTTTCAAGAATCAATAAATGCACATACCATAACTCATTTGTCCTTCATTGATACTTCATAATTTTCAAAATTAATATAATCCATAAGAATAAAATATTTCAGGAAAAAGGCTATTAAAAATAAAAATAAATTAAATGGAATGCTATTCACTTGTGGAAGTTTTGAATTCCTAAAATTTCTTTCTTCAATTTCTATCGGGATCCTCTTCTTCCACATGTCTTATAAGATATTAGTAAGCAAAATTTAATAAACTGTCCTTTGATTTACAAAGACTTCCTTCCACTCCTAATAAAATTTTCATCAACCACTATCATTCAAAATTCAAAATCAAAATTCATACTTTAAGATTATTCCAAACATTCCAATAAGCATCTAATTAATATCAATATTCAAGTAGAATATCAAAGTTATCCTCTTCCAACCTTCCTTTAATAATTTCCTTAACATAAATCAATCCAATCAAGATTTATCTAGCTCCAAAATTATAGCTCATATATGTAGATATGTCTTTATACATGCATATATTATTATAAGCAAGTTTTAAAATAGATTCCTATCTTAAGTT